TTCCTGCAGGAAGGGTTCAGGAATTGGATGGAACCAGCTGGTGATGCTGCTCTTCAGCAGCTCTTCCCGTGCAGGTGGCTGGTGGTAAAGCTGCTGTAGCTGTGTCAGGGGGGAGCTTTTTGCCTGAACCAGTCACTTGGAGTTAATCAGGAGCTGAATCTCTTTAAACATTCATTCTAAGCTGCGTTTTATCAGAGGCAGCTGCTCCTCTGGAAGCTCTGGGACTGCAGGATTGGGACTGGCTGTCAGAGCTGCTGAAGGGGTTGTGACACAGCAGCTCTTAATTTTTAAACAGAAGTGACTGGATGGTTTCCTGTCTCGGTGGCTTCTGGGGGATCACACAACATCCAGCAACATCCTTCCAGACAGGCTCACAGAGAGCAACCCTTTCAGTGGAAAACCCCAGGAGCCCCAAATCCTTTGTTATCCCACACGTCACCCTGCAAGGAGGGCCCTGCACTGGGTGCTTCCTGCTGGCAGCTGAGACCCTCCCTCCTGCCCTTTATCTGGTTTCCTTTTGGTGGAGGCAGCTTCTCCCTGGTGCTGAGCACAGCGGATGCAGGGCCAGAGCTTTCCTCAGGAGGTGATCTAAGCCCAGAAATTCCTGTTGCTTTGCCAGCACACACAGCTTGCTCTCCGAGCCGGTCCCAGTTCGCCTCTGGCCAGCGCTAGTGGACAGGTTGCTCCTCTCCTCCACTGACCTGTGCAGAGGTGGTTGCTCTTCCCTGGTCTCTGCAGAGCCTGGCTCCTTCCCTGGACCGTGGGCATGAAGGGGAAGGAGCTGCCATGGTGATGCTGAACCTGTCCCACCCTCCCTGGCTGGGTTGGGAGGGGGTTTCGGGGGTTGCTCGTGGGAGTGCTCTGAGCCATTCCCAGTCAGGGCTATCCTGTGCCTCTGATCCCTTCTCCTGCTGTCCCATGAGTGAGGCAGGAGGATCCTGTGGGATTTCACGCCCTTGCAGGGGACCAGGGGATCTGCTCCAGGTCCCAGGATGAGCTTGTTGCTGAAACTGCTGCTTAAGGGGGTAGGTTTTGAATGAGTAATTGGTGTGTGTGGGGGGGAAACACAGGAATCCAAACATAATCTTTTCAGGAAAGGTGGAACTGTCACCTGGGCCTGTTTGTTGTGTGCAGAGCGTTCCTGTACCTTTGTCCCAGTGCTGGTGTCCCAGGAGCTGTGCCTGGCTCCGTGCTGGGCGGGTTCCTCGGGGACAGACGCGGTGCCTCTGTCCCGTGCGGGCCATCCCGTGCCTCTGCTCACCTTTGCCTCCTTCCCCTTTACCTTTTTCCTGTTGCTGTTGTTTCCTGGAGGATGGGGCCACCGGCCCTGCACGTGACAGGGAAGATCTGGATGTGCTGCCAACTGAGGAGTGTCAGAGCAGCCCTTTCCACACCAGTCCAGCCCAGATCCCACACGGGCCCCACGTCACTGTGCTGGTGAACCCCCCTGCCAGGAAACCTGGCTGGCCTTCACCTCTGTTTGCTGCCTTCTCTGTTGGTTCCCCTGTGGAGTGCTTGCCTCTGGAATTTCAATCCATGGCAGCAAGGGACAGCACTGAAAGCATTTTGGGAGCGTGTGTGAGCAGGACAGCCTTGCTCTGGAACTTGATGGTTCCATCCAGGCTCTCCTTGGAGCTGTGAGGGTCTGCAGGGCATAGCTGGCACTGGGCACGGGCCACTGGCATGGAACGTGCTCTCAGATCCAAGGGGGAGCATTAATTCCTTCCCTCCTTTGCCTTGGCATCTGCTGCAAGGAGCCCATCCTGCAGCTGATCCTCACGGGAGGAGCTCCAGGACTCCCCCACGGATGAGTCCTGCCTCGGTGTCCTCACCCACTCTCCATCAGGCCTTCCCCCTTCCTGTCCCTTTGTGTGTTTTGATGACCTCAGTGCCGTGGAGGGGGGAGGGGGTTGCAGGATTTGTTCTCTTCTCTGTTCCTGCTCAGGGGGGCAGCTCCCGTTTCTGCAGGAAATCTCCCTTTTGATGGATTCCTCTGCTCCCTTGGCTTGGCTGCTCCATCTTCGGTCAGGGGCCTCTTGGAGGCTGCTTTTTCATTTCTGCCACGCATTTAACTCTGAGTTTCTGAGGTGAGCTTATGAAATACCCTCCCTGCTGCCTGCAGCACGTTACCTTTTCAGCTGCTGCTTTTTAATTTCCTTTCAGCCCTTTCTCGCTCGTGCGCTCGTCGACGAAGAATTTGGGGCTTTTTTTTTTTTTTTTGGCTCTTGAGGGACTGCTGAATGCGAGTTCTTCATTGTTATTATTGCAGCTGAATAGGTTGAATATTGAATAGATCTTGTCTGTCATCCTGTGCCTTGCTGAGGGTTGAATCTGAAGCTCTGAGCTCTTTCTTGCTCCGAGGAGGACTCATCCGTGCTGCCGAGGAGCTGCACTGTTTCCTTTCAGGAGTCGTTCCTGAGGCTTTGGTTGTTGTGATCAGAGCTTATAATTGTGTGGAAGAAACGATCCCTTGTAGCTGCAAACTGCAAACCAGAGCGAGCAACTTGTTCTGAGAGCTGCTCCCTTCTCTGAGCCCCTCGGCTCCTCACAGGAGATCCTTTGGGATCCCTCACAGGTCATGGGATGGTTGGGGTTTGGATGGACCTCAAGAACCATCTCATTCCACCCCTTTGCTATGGGCAGGGACACCTCCCACTAGCCTAGGTTGCTCCAACCTGGCCTTGG